AATGCAGCTTCCACAGGATTGCATACTGGTTTTGTTATGGCACTGAGCTGCAAGGAAAAGCTCTCTGTTTACTAGTTAGTCTACGTCCCTAACCTCACCTATGGCCACAAACTCTGGGTAGTGGCCAAAAGAATTAGATTGTTGATACAAGTGGTCAAAAGGAGTTTTCTCCGAAGGCTAGCTGGGCTCTCAGAGATCCAGGTCGGAGTAAAGCCACTGCTCCATCACACTGAGAGAAGTCAGTTGAGGTTGTTCGAGCATCTGGTAATGATACCCATTAGATGTGTTCCAAGGGATATTTTCTGGCCATGTCCAGCTAGGAGGATTCTGAGGCAAATCCAGATCCATGGATGAATGGAATGCTGCAGACTAATGGACTCTAGTTTTTTGGGGGTAAATGGGACTATAATTCAGTTCTGTATTGTTTTAAACAATTTGTTTTTGTTCATGTGAGGTTAATTTTAAAACCCTGTAAAGACTATTCAGTTTTTATTATGTCCTGATACACAAWTTTATTTTTGTATCAGTTTTTATGTCCTGATACAAAAATATATTCAACTGAGAAAGGATAAACTTTATTTTTCCTAAKACTTTGTATAGTATCAAGTTTAGCATTTAAGCCAGTAGTTTTGTCACTTTTCCTTCCAATTTATTTGTTGGTTCAAGACAGATGATACCTTCGCAATCACATCAAGTGTAACACAGTTGATAAGGTGCAGCATGTTGGCCTCTCTGTTATTATCAGCAAATTCTTCAAGCTTATCCATYAGTTTCTCTGCTCTTTCATTGAAGGTGNCAAATCTCGATGGCTTTAGGGAAAGGTGAACTATTTTCCAGGAGGTTCAATTCCATGCCAAAAGCAACCTGAAATTTATGAATAAACAAACATACAATCAAGGCATAGGAAAAACGAAGTCCACCCTCTTTTGATTCAAGAGTTTTTGCATAATATTTCAAAAAGCTGTAAATAATCTTTCCCATTACAACATTGAACCAGATAGTGGAGGAAGCTTCCAGAAAGATTTGGTAGACCCAAAGTTTAGTCATGGTTTTCTGGGAATGCCTTGCAGATGAAGTGGCTTTAAGGGTCTTTAACTCCCACTTCTGACACAGCTTCAACCGCATCCCAGCAAAGGCAGGGGACATTGAGTTTGTGGAGGTCAGTATCTGTGCCTCAATTATTGAGGCAGCTTCCTTAAGCTGTGGCTGCAAGGTTGTTTGTGCCTCTTGTGAGGGCCATCCTCAAACCCAGTGGTGAACACTCCAGGTGAGGGAGGTGTCAAGCTGAAAAATAAGTCCTTTTGAGAATTGTTAGCTGGGAAGACTCCAGAGGCAGATCAGGGGATTTGGTGGATCAAGCAAGCTGTAGCTTTGACTCTTGCTGAGACAAAAACTCAAGTGTGGGGAGAGTTTAAGAGTTTAATGAGGCTTTGTATAAAAACTCCAATTTGGCTTTTGGAAGATTTGGGCAAATGTTGTAATATTTATCCAAACCTAGAAATATTGTTGGGCAGTGAAAGGAATACCTCAAGTACCTTCTCAGTTCCACCAGCACATCTTCCATGGAAGAAGCTGAGTCTGAAGACATTTGGGTGGGTCTATCCACAACTGCGGATGAGGGCTGGTAGGGCTCCAGAAGTAGAACAGCTCTACTCTGAGTTCCTCAATGTTCTAAAAGTTGCTGGACTGTCTTGGTTGACACACCTTTTCAACACTGCAATGACATGTTGGAAAGTGCCACTGGATTGGCGGACTGGGGTGGTGGTTCCTTACTTCAAAAAGGGAAACCAGAGGGTGTTCAGATTACAGGAGAATCACACTCCTCAGACTCTTTGGTAAGGTCTATTTCGGGGTGCTGGAGAATAGTCTGGCCAATGGTTGAACCTCAGATGCAGGAGGAGCAGTGCAGGTTTGATCGTGGCCGTCGAACACTGGACCAACTCATGAGTTTTCCCAATCAGCCTTCGTGTATTTTGTGGACTTGAAGAAAGGATTCAACCATGTTCACCATAGTACACTGTGAAGGGTGCTCAGTCAATATGGTATTAAGGTCCATTGCAATGAGCCGTTCAATTTGTATACAATCAGTGCACAAGTCTGTTTTGCATTGACAGTAAGTATACATGCTTCAAGATGGACGTTGTACTCCATCAGGGCTGTTTGTTGTCACCAAATCTTTTGTTTCAGCCAGGAGGCAGAAGGGGTSTGGTTCTGTAACCACAGGATTTGGTCTTGGCTGTGGATAGTCCTGTTGGTGTCATGTATGACYTTCAGTTCTCGTTAGTGCAGTTTGCAGCCGAGTGTGAAGCAGCCTGGATGAGGTTCAGCACCTTCATATTTGAGGCCATAGTTCTTTGACAGAAAGAGATGGATTACCCTCTACAGGATGGGGATGAGTGAGGGAGGAAGGGGCAGAGATAATCAGATGGATTAATGCAGCTTCCACAGGATTGCATACTGGTTTTGTTATGGCACTGAGCTGCAAGGAAAAGCTCTCTGTTTACTAGTTGGTCTACGTCCCTAACCTCACCTATGGCCACAAACTCTGGGTAGTGGCCAAAAGAATTAGAT